AAAAAATTATATAGGTTTTTAAATATTAAAAACTGTTATTATTTTAATTCCTGCATATTACCCCAAAGGGTGAGGGCTCTTGATTAGGGAATTGGATCTGTGCTCCAGTTCCCTGAGTTAAGCCTAAATACCTTCTACCTCCCCCCCCCAACAGGCGCTGTATAATCCCTACGGGTTTAGAGCAAGAGCTGAAACTGTGTTCGTGTGGGTTCAGTATAATATGTGTACCACACGGCGATCAACATTCTTAGTCTGTATTAAAATGGTACATAATACCGACAGGATGTTAGGTAAGACACATGTGCAACAGTTAGGTATCTTTATTTCGAAAAGTTTCGTCTATACAGTAGGTTTCTTTAGTCACAGAAAAGTTGGTAGGAACGGAAGAGATGTGAAGACGATGTAATCAGTCCATTACCCTTGAAGTTTTGAGGTGGTCAGTCCCTCAGCCTGGAGAAGAATATTGTTCCATAGTCTGAAACAATTGTTTCAGATGCTGCACACAACTAATTTCTTCATCTCGGTATCAAATACCTCATACACGAACCTACCTGGTACCTATACCTCTCTCCCCAAGTATTAACCTCAGTAATAATAATAATATTATTATTATTTGCAAATAATGAACCATTTATACTTCGTTACAGATATGAGCAACTGATTACATCTACACTTTATCGAAATAATGATAACACTAAGAAAATTTAACTCAGGTACCGGTGACGTATCTAAAATTACTTACGTCATACGTAGATTTACGGATCGCAGGAGAATATGTGACGTCAATGAACTATATTACTGAGTTAAATGATGACGTAAGCATGAACTAATGAGGGTCTGGATCAGGAACCAAGACCAGACTCTAGCAGGGAAATAATGAAGGTGCATACGATGTTTGGTATGTAATAGTTACTGATACGATGGTAAGGAGATATGTGAAGTTATCTGTTTGCGACTGGATGAAGTCCAATGCATGGGCGAAACGTCGTCAACGAGGGTTCTGTATTGCTTTCAAATGTGTCTCCTTACCAAAGTATGACATAGATCACGACATACAAAATCTTCACTGGACGGTGGTGGATAATGACATACTGACGTGGAGGTGACCGGGACGAGGGCACACAAGTGTAAACTAAACGTCAGAAAACACTTAAGAACGTAAGAATAATGGAACACTGCAGCAGGCTTGCTGGCCCATACTAATAAGATCAATAGAGACCAAAAAGGAATCGTTTCGAGTACGGTGGTAATATATATCTAATAGAGGATGACTATACATAATTTTAGAGATTGACGAAACGGGGCTAAACTGTCAGTGGGTTGAAACTTAAGAGGAAACCCCAGAGCCCCCTTAAGAGAACTCTCCCTCCATAAAATGGACACAATTAAGTGGAAGGAAATGGAGGGATTGGAGCAGAATTCCCAGGTTATCCTTTGTTCAACTACTAGCTAGGTCTTCAACAAAATTTATATCATCAATATTCAATACAAGAAATGTTCAAGCTCGGTAATAAATCTATACATCATATACATCACAAATATGCTTTATACTTATTGAATGCTAGAAGAATATTATTATGTTGGGGTTAATGGAAATTTTGTTATTAAAATAATCTTCTGGGAAGTGTTTCCTGTGATGAGTTACAGTAGTCCAGTCAACTACACTCATAGCACTGGCACTCAGACCCCAGCTGGAGCTGCACCACTGCGGACTCTTGTGTGCTGACAATTCAGTTTTATAATATACGTAGTCGATCACAAGCTCACCGCCACCATGCATGACGTATTCGGAGGCATTCGTACATTGATGAAAGTCGATTCCATCGACATCGACAACAATGTTTTCCGTCTCCATTACAAGGTCACGATGTTCATCTTGGTAGCGTTTAGCTTGTTGATAACCCAGAAGCAATACTTTGGTGATCCCATCGACTGTCTGGTGGACGGAGTGGATGCAGAGATCATGGATACCTACTGCTGGATCCACACCACCTACACCATCCCAGCTCTGGTGGGTGGTGAGGTGGGCGTGGAGATCGCCCACCCGGGCGTAGCTCCAGACACCATCATAGGACAGGGACAGCAGAAACACGAAGTCAAGCATCACAAGTACTACCAGTGGGTCACTCTCTTCCTATACCTGCAGGTGAGTGCTGCAAAAACAATTAATACTCGGACAATTATTGACAACTAAGGAACTGAAGTTGGAACAAAGTTCACTGTGTAAAGTTTCATTAACTGATGATAAAGTTCTCCACAGCCCAACGTTCTTAATATAGACTGGCCAAAGACTGACTGAAACATCGTTCAGTCTCCCCTTCCTTTGATCAAATTTAGGTACCTCCCATTGCCTTAGGCACAGTAACCCTTCGGTTAGGAAAGGCTTGTCAGGAAACAGGACAAGTATTTCCTGACGCGAGTGTTATTCGTATGATGACCCGCAGCTGGAGCTTTTGGTAATCTGACTGAAGCCAACCGCTGGCTTACCGGTCCACCCCTTGAAAAAATATGTAGGTCACGGAGACCTCCGTGACCTACCCTTAATTACTATTACATTTAGAGGTAAACACTTCACCTGCAAAGATCACATTGCCTATAATTTTGTCTAATTACATATTTTTTCAAGGGGTGGACCGGTAAGCCAGCGGTAGGCTTCAGTCAGATGACCAAAAGCTCCAGCTGCGGATCATCTTATGAATAACACTCGCGTCAGGAAATACTTGTCCTGTTTCCTGACAAGCCTTACCTAACCATATGATCCATACTGGTGGTGAACAGGTTTTATGTAGCCTTAATGATTCTCGTTTAGTCGATAAACTTTGAAATAACCTTAAGATGCATTACGAAGCACTGATCCTTTGTTCCATGAATGTGGTATAAAACACAGCTCCGGCAGGCCAAGGGAGCTTGATTATAAGTTATCTTCTGACTCAGACCCGTGCCAGGTGATATTCCTTGTTTGCTGTCGAATGAACAACCATTTACTTCCAGCAGCATTTGAGTTTTGAAACACTGACGTTTTGAGCAGGAAGTGATTTTCAGTTAAACTTGAGTTTACTTGCATATTCACAGAGGAAAATTTCCCTAAATGCGACCCACAACTGATAGATGAAGAATTTTTTATAGGGAAGTAGCTAATGCTGGCTGTTGTGTAAAAGACTTGGGAATAATTCAGGATATGAGATGAAATTTAGACTCACTTGTAGGCAGCTTCTGTAGTGGTATAAACCTTGGTAATGGATACCGATAAATTGGTTTTAGAAAGACACGTAAACAAGGTTCTGGGACCTTGATCAAGGTCCCAGGACCGAAATGCTTTCTAATAAGTCCTAGTGTTTGCTTGGGTGTCTTTCTAAACCAACTTCTGCAGCAAGTTCTTTCTTCCACAGTCAATTAGTTTGTGTATTGCAGGCCATTATGTTCTACATCCCGCGGTATTTGTGGAAGATGTGGGAAGAAGGTAAAGTTAAGATGTTGGTCGCTCAACTTGACACACCAATCGTGGACAGCGAAGCCAAGAAAGCTCGCAAGGACCTCTTGGTTAACTACTTCACCCTCAACTTACACTCTCAAAACATGTACGCCTTCAAGTTCTTTATCTGCGAGGCTCTGAACTTCGTCAATATCATTGGGCAGATGTACCTGACCAACAGGTATGTGTCTAATTATACTCACTATATGCATTCCCATTAATCGAACTGCAGGTGCTGCGCCTCGAAAGTGCATTCACCTACTTGTATCTGTGTAGGTTTAGCTCTAGCTATTGGCTTCCGTGGGTATATATTCGCCTAGTTGTATTTAAGTGAGTTAAGCTAACCTCTAGCTCTTGGGCTCCATCTTTACATATCGATTGAAAGTATTACTTTCTTAAAACGTCTTTTGAGCTGTCATGTAGTTTTTGAATCAGTTTACTCACCTATTTGTGGCTGAAAGGGTCGATTCACAGCTCCTGGCCCCGCCTCTTCGCTGGTTGCTGCTAGGTCCACTCTCTCCCTGCTCCATGAACTGTATCGTACCTCTTCTTAAAGCAATGTATGGATCCTGCCTTCACTACACCAATCTCCAGATTGTTCCACTTCAAGACAACTCTGTGACTGAAAAAATACTCCCTAACTTCCCTGTGACTCATCTGAGTTTTTCAACTTCCAGTTGTGACCCCTTGTTTCTGTGTCACATCTCTGAAACATCCTGTCCCTATCCACCTTGTCAATTCCTCTCAGTATTTTGTATGTTGTTATCATGTTCCCCTTATCCTTCCTGTGCTCCAGTGTGTGTGTACTCACCTATATGCGGATGCAAGGGTCGATTCACAGCTCATGGGCCTATAATTTAGTTGCACTTTATTATACATGTATACCTTAGCTGACGTGTCTACAGAACACTGGTGCCATTAACATTATAATTATCTCAAAACGTGGATTGCTGTATAATATGTATATTTTCATTTCAGATTTCTAGGCTACGAATTCTCGACCTATGGTACGCGAGTGATTAACTTCAGCAAGCAGGAGTTGGGTACCAGACACGACCCCATGGACGAGGTGTTCCCCAAGGTAGCCAAGTGCACCTTCTACAAGTATGGTGCCACAGCATCTCATGAGAAGTTTGACGGCCTCTGTGTCCTTCCCCTTAACGTTGTCAGCGAGAAGATCTTCATTTTCTTGTGGTTCTGGTAAGATACATAAAGAAAACTCATTTTTTAAAGGTAAATACAGTCAATCCAGTACAAATAGTGAATCATTAAATGCAACTTGAAAGGCTCCATCTCATTCAAAGAAGAGATTTGTTTGGCAAGATGACTTGCATGTAAGGGTATTCATGTTGTTGACTAAGTAACATTATTGAGATTCTTTGGGTGGCTTTAAAAATGGATAAGACATCCACAGGACATTCAATCTTACCCATCAATAGGAGCGATTAGATGTTAGTAAGATCTGCCTAACTTGGGTCAGTAGCACTACCAGTGTTCACAAATAACCCGCACATAGGAGAGAGAAGCTTACGGCAACGTTTCGGTCCTACTGGATCATTTATAAATGGTGACTGTAAATGGTCCAAGTCGGACCAAAACGTCTTCGTAAGCTTCTCTCTCCTATATGCGGGTTATTTGTGTATTGTTCCAGTCACGGTATTGTGCCTTTTATACGAAGTGTACATGAAAGCCCAGCATAGCACTGCTGCTGAAGTGTTCTGTTCTTATACCCTTATATCTTCTACAGGTTCATCATAGTGGCTGTGTGCTCAGCACTTGGCGTGGTGTACCGCTTGACCACCTTCGTACCCATGGTCAGGAATGTTATACTGAGAGTACAAGCTCGCCTCAGCGACAGGTCCACTGTTGAATGCGTCACCCATAATTGCCAGATAGGAGATTGGTTCCTTCTGTACCAATTAGGTCAGTCTAGCATATTATATATGACATACACAAATAACCCGCACCATTTACAAAGTTACACTAACGAATTGCTCTAGTCACAGTATTGTGCCTTTTCTATATATGACATACAATACCTACAAGTTGATGAGTAAGATACGTGCAGTATTTAGGGATCTTTATTTATCGATAAAAGGTACCTAAGTTGTACACATGTTCCTCATCGATATGTCAGCTTAAATGATTTTCTTCCTGTCATTCCGTGCAAGCTTCAATAGCCACTTAAACTACGATAACATTAAATATTGTAAAATAGAAAGTCACATTGCCGTGACTGGAGTAATTCACAGCAATAATTCACAAATTGCGGGTTAGTTGTAAATGCCTAAGTAATTAAAAACTGCATTATTGTTTATTAATGAACCATAAATACTAAATATATTGTATTTTTCAACTGTAACTTATTTTTTCAGGCAAGAACATGGATCCACTGATCTACAAGGAATTTATCTTCGAACTGGCCAATAGTCTTCAAAAGAATGCCACATAAATCTTCATAATGGTATGAGAAAGCAGGTGCAAAAACGCCACGGTCAAGCAGGGAAAAGATCTCACTATAGATGGAATCGTTTAGAGGAACCGGATACAGCAGCAGTTCCGGGCTGTATCAAGACAGGAAAAAAAAGCGTAGTCTATTCTGCATAATGTTATGGCCCATATCCGCCGTGGGCATTACGTCTGTACATCTAGTGCGGGATTATCCGAGTGTATGTGGAGGTTCCTCTGTGAGAGATATACTAGGATAAGGGACAGGTCACAGAGCCGGGATACCTCTCCAGGTGGCAGCCATGTTATGTATATCTGTGATGATAATAGGGACTCAAAGGTCTATCAAAATTTAATTGTTTTACAATAGTATTATTAGCCTGATCGTATGATGATAATATATCATGTATTTATTGTAAACTGCGTAAAAGGGAGATGTTGGAAGACAAACTTGTACTGGGACAACCTGTCACTGCTCTTACAGAGCCAAACAATGTCTCAGACAACAATGAAATGTAATTAGATTAATAATGACTAGGATACTTGTAAGTTCATCGTCATCATAAAATATACCATGTGGTGGTTCTTTATTTTTTATGAATGGTGCATGAAGCCTAGCTGGGGACAGGTATCTTCACCAGGTGCCAGATCAACCAGGATCTGATGGATATGTGGGGCAGTGGGCCACCAGCAGCAACAGCTTGGTTGAGCAGGCAAGCACCAGTCGAGCCTGATCCATGGCGAGGCTGCCAGAGTAGAGGAACTCTCAGAACTCATCAAAGGTAAAGCAAGCGGATACTTAACATATCATCAAGAGGTTAAGACCCGTATCAAGGGACACCTTGTTCTTTCCTGACGAACAAACCACCATGCTGGTTAATGGAAGTTTAAAGCCTATCGTCTATGTGAGTGTCAATAATAGATTTAATCCCTTTATAAAAACGTTTCAAATAAACTTCCAGCGTATATAAACTGTGTATATATGTAACCTAATATAATTGTGTTCGTAAAATTCAATTGTATAAAAAAATCTTCAGTTGGAATAAATCTAGGCAGATGCCTATTATGGCTCAGTAGGCCTAGCATCGTATTCATCAATGTTTATATTCTTATCTTTAAGATAGTGAATGTAGTAGTGTTTGAGAGAGAGAGAAGAGAGAGAGAGAGAGAGAGAGAGAGAGAGGAAGAAGAGAAGAAAAGAGAGAAGAGAGAGAGAAGAGAGAGAAAGAGAGAAGAGAGAGGAGAGAGAAGAGAGGGGGAAGAGAGAAAAAGAGAGAGAGAGAGAGAAAGTGTTTATCATTAGTATTTAAACAGATTTAATAATATACAGGTCGAATATTAAACTAAGCAAACAGTTCTATATATAGCTGCAGTTCTGTATATAATAATGTGTGATATAAACCCCAGACAATAAAGAGAAACACAGGTCATAGTCTGATTTAAATTTCAAATCCAACTCTTGATAAATATACTGAGAAAAGAGGTAAATAGTGAGTTGTAATAATAATGGTAGAAATACCCACAATATGTTAGGTAAAAGGACACAAGTGCAAGTAATGTGACATTTTATTGTGGCAACGTTTCGCTCTCCAGGAGTTTTGTCAAACTCCTGGAACGAAACTTTGCCACAATAAAAGTCAAATTGCACGTGTGTACTTTACCTAAGAACGAGAGTGAATATTAGTTGCAGTGTAACTGTTGTACAGTGCTGTCTTAACAACTGTTCTAATATACCCCCATGATAAAGATGGGATGGGTGGACATCTTTGACGGAGGGCCTTGATGCGGTGAGGGGCCCTTTATGCTTTGGTGAGGGACCTTGATGCTGGTGAGGGGCCTTGATGCTGGGGAGGGCCTTGATCTGTGGGGGCCTTGAGCTGGAGGGCCTTGATGCGTGGGGGCCTTGGTGCGGTGA